GAGCCCCCCCCCCACACACACACACAACCCAGCAGGCCCATGAAAGACACGGGTCCCACTCTGCAGTCAGATCCCGTTCTGCCCCACCCCTTCCCGAGGGGTGAACCTGAAAACCTGTTCGTTGGAACCCTCCAAAATCTAAGCTCCTCAGCCTCGCCGCTCGCCCCACCGCCTGCGCCAGGATGAACCAACAGACGGCGGTGGGGGGGGCAGCTACTGCGGCGGCGGCGGCGGCGGAAGTGATTGTGGCCTCGATTGGAGCCCGCCCCCTTGTTGGGGGAGTGAGGGGGTGGCAGCTGCTCTCCACAAATCAGGGTGGGCCTGAAAGCATTATTTTATTTTAAATGATGAAATCGTCAAGGATACAGAAAAAAACAGCAAAAAATGTAACAAACAGCCAGCTTTAACAAATGTTAAACATTTAGCCATATTTTCTTCTGTTAATAGCTTTTTAAATAAAATGAAATCTACAAATTCTTTCAGATTAATATAAATGTGAGAGCAATTATATTTTACTGTATCACATCCTATGTTATATGCTATCGTTTGTATTGGAAGTATTAAAATTGCTGTTTACAGTAGAATTTGTCCCTGTTAATCACAAAATCAAACTTTTCTATCCAAAAGAAATGATGGGTCACGTTCGTGAAAGTGAACAACACGGGGTTCATATTCTGGTAATCGTGCTGCAGTTGAAAAATACAGTTAGGCCTTTTGAATTTATACAGTTTTGCTGAACTTTACGCTCTTTGCATTGTACTCCATAATAGAACTCTATAATATTTGTAGCCAGAATAAAGACTTCCTGTAGTCACAGTAGCACAGTTGCATTCTTCCTGGAAATAAAATGCATAATAGAATGAAAAATTTTAGTAGTAACAACATACCAGAAATAGGAGATATAACTTTCAAATTATTGCAATAATAATATATGAGACAAAAAGAAAAACTCAGTCTAATAAAGGGCAAGAAGTGAGGTGGAGGCAAGAAGAAAGGATGTAAAAGAAAACAAAAGGGCAGAGATAAATTCAGATACATCGGTATGTCTTATGGGTTGATATCCATTAAGACACATTTAAAAGTTCTTGTTTTGACCCACTTCATTTTTAAAAATCCAGTTAAATGTTATCTATGTGCGCTCCATCTAAAGCAGAGATGGGAAAGGGAAATAAATGCTAGTTAAATACTAGCAGAAAAATAAAAAAGAAAGGGAGAGAGAGAGGGCAGGAGGAAGGGGAAACGAAGAAGGGAAAAGGAAGGAAAGATAAAAGAGACTTGTAGCAATATTAATATAAAAATCAAGAACTCCAAGTAAAAAGAATTACAGAGAACAGAACAGGTTGTTTCGTTTAATGAGAAGGCTTTGATAATCACGAAAATTTATGTGCCAAACAACACAATTTCAAAATAAATAAAACAAATACTGTTAGAAATATAAAGAGACAATAAGTCTGATATTATATTGGGAGACTTAACTATACTTTTCAAGGTATATATAGACAAATAGACTCCAAAATAAATAAAGATACAGCCTAGAGAAGATTGGACAACATGATTAATAAGTCTGATCTAAGGTATATGTATATTTTGTACTCAAAAAAGGATGCCTTTTCTTTTACATTTATTGTGTTTCGTTTTTGCTAGTGGGCACATGTGCTCATCAGAAAAACAGAGAAAGAGAGAGAGGATAAAGCACCACTCACGAGGAATGATCACACCTCCCCCATCTTGGCCTCCTTTTAAGACTTTCAGCACACATGCACATGTGCTCACTATGTTTCTCAAGCTGCCAGCTCTAGGATTTAAACCATGCAGTTGGCCATGTGGGATTCAGCTTCCTCAACCATCAGGCACAGAGCTGGCCCTATAAAAATATTTTTAAGTATTTCAAACATACAGAAAAGTACAGAATATAAAATACAAATTTGAATTCACCTATAACATAGATTGAGCACATTTTATTCCCTTCAGATCCTCAGATCCTTCTGTTTTGGGAACAAAATATTACAGTTAAAGCCCTCGCTTTATCCTATTCACTTTACTTCTCTTTTCAAAATAAGCCGCATTTGGAAGTTGATGTGTTTCCTTCTTGTCCGTGTGAGCATGTGTGTGTGTGTGTATTTCCTTTACAAACATTGTTGTTTTGTGTATTTTAAATTCTGTACATGTATCGTGATTAACTATCTTTTTGCAACTTAAACTTCTCTTTTTTCTTTCCTGAAATTTAGCACATTTTTTTTTAAATTTTTTTGGAGAGGTTTTTGTTATAGGGCATATGCGCTTGCCAGAAAGACAGAGAGAGACAGAAAGATACAAAGCAAAAAGTCACACTCCCTCCGCCCCCGGGCGATGGCCAGGCTGCAATCCCTTCTCCCCCATTCTCCTCTCAGGATCTTGGGCACACACGCACACATGCCCGGAGTGAGTTTAAGCCACCGGGTCTGGAACCACGGTCGGCTACATGGGAGTTCAGTGACATAGCCAGTACGCTAGCTGCTGGTCCCGAAATTTAGCACTTTTGATAAATGCAGATATAGGTCATGAGTTTTAACTATTGAATCGCTTATCCAATATGATGGTACTACAACATATTAATGTATGGACTTCCATTTCATGGATTATTTTATTTATTTATCTCTTTCCGTACTTATGAACTTGGGTTATTTCTATTTGATGCAATTGAGTGAGGATTCAATGAACATCCTGCTATAAGGCTCCTGTTCTTATATGGAAGAGTTTCTCTAAGACAGAGCTTCCTAACTAGGTTTTCAGTGTTCTGGTATATGGACCCACTTGGCCCTCCAGAAGGGGGGTCCCCAGCCGCTGCCTATGTAGACTGTTGCCTCTGACCAAGAGCAGACTGATTGCTTATCCTGGTGAGCTGGTATAAATATTAGTATTTTTAAAGTTTATT